GATGTTAGAATGAGCCTGTAAACAAGGCGTAGGAGACTGATTATTCCTGCGAAATCCGAATCTGCACTACTCACTTTCACTGTCTGAGACTTATTTTTATGATGTTCTAGTCTCCTGGATTTCTGGTTTAGTTACAGGAAGATTTGGAAAACATTCTCTCAATGTTACCCCATAAAACTACTGTTAAGCTCAACAGCTTGTAGTGGCATACTTTTACAAAGAAAACACAATTGCTGATATATAAACATTTATTATTGTACTTAATTCTGACAATAATTGTTATATTGTACACCTTGTTTATCTGTACAAAAAGACTATCTCTCGCGCGCCATGCGTGTCTTTGCTTTTCGGCCTTCTCTCCTCGCTCGTTGTTAGACGCTCGTGTACCCTAGTCTTGTGATTATTTCGATATCACGAGGCTAGCAATAAATATACTGCTTCATCTAGAATCGTCTTTTCTTTGATTTCTAGATTTACGGAATCAACATTTGTTATCCCACGAAGTGGTACCACGACAAGCTCGTCACCGCCTAGAAAAATTAGTTGCGCGAGGAGTGAAAGGCATACCAGCGGTCTATGTGCAGACACTGTACAAGTCATTGTATGGATAAAACAGGTAAGATTTTCGAAACTTTCGTAGGTTAGTACACTGAAAAACATTCTTCGTACAGAAAAGAGAGTAGTTTAGGCGTCCATACACATAGTAAACACTAGCTATCATTCACCTAATACTCTGCCTGGAGTCCTAGGATTACTGTCTGTCCCAAGCCCAGGGAAAGGAGAGTTGGCTATCAGTTTAGCAGCCCCATCCCGTAGAATCCAAACTTGTTAGAAATATACTGACTAGTAAAAATAACTCAAACCATTTAAACTCTGCCCTGGAAGATCTTCATTTAGAAGAGTCATTACATTTTATGATGAAAGTCGAGTTCCTTCTGAAGACACGAGGTTGGTGCCCTTCCTCACAACCAGAGCAAGCAGCGTTCGTTATTGTTGGAGAACGGAAGAATCACTTAAGTGTCGGAGGAAATGGGAAAATGCAATCCATTGGTGTTTGTATTCAGTGAAACCTATTGGACGTAGGCAGAGATAATGTTGTACTCCGACCATAAAGAAGAACACAATGCCTCATGTACACAAGGAGTTGCAGTGATGCTGTCCACAAAAGCTCGAGAAGCACTTATATGATAGGAATCTCATGGATCTAGGACAACCAAAGCCTCCTTCAAAACAAAGAAGCGGGGATTACAATGAATGTCATTCAGTGCCATGTGCCCACCCATGATAACAATGAAGACGACAAAAATATCCATTTTGAGAGTGACATCAGTCAGTCGTCAAGAAATGTCCAGAAAAGGATTAGATCATTCTGATGGAAGACCTTCATGTCAAGGTTAGGAGGGACAACACCAGATAGCAAAACATCACAGAACGAAATGGATTGGAAGAAAGAAACAAAATCGATTGGAGAACTTCAAATGCATGTACCTTCAACAAAATGATTATAGGTGGCACCATATTTCCACACAGACGCATACACAAAGTCACATGGATTTCACCGAATCGCACCACCACATTTGCATCACTGAAAAATTCAGAACGACCATGGAGTATGCGAGAACCAAGTGAAGTGGCATAGCTACAGATCATCACCTGGTGGTGACCAAGATGAAAATGGAATCACAGAAGAACTGGATAACTGGGTGGACAGCATTACAAAAACTTAACATTGTGTTTCCTCGGCATATTGGTAAACTCAAAGAATTCAAGATGGCTCTGAGGAAAATGTTCCAAGTCTTTAACGATACATGAAAATGAAAAGTAAACTACCACAGAGTACAACTGAAAAGAGATGGAAGGAACAATTACTTCAGCATGCCATGAGGTTTCTGACAACAAGGAATGGATCTCTGTTATTACTCTCGATAAGATTGAAGAAAGGAAGATAGCAATCAAGAAAAACCGAACAATAGCAGAGAAAGCAAATGCACACACTGAATACACAGAAGCAAACAAACAAGTGAAGAGGAGTATTAGGAAAGACAAAAGTAAATATGTGGAGGATCTAGCGATGATAGCAGAGAAAGCTGCTAGAGAAGTAAACATCAGACAAGTATAGGATACAATGACGAAGCTAGCTGCAAAATATAGCAAACCAGAACGACCAGTCAAGAACATAGAATAGAAACCAGTCACCAATATTAAAGAACAGTGAAAGTTAGTGGGAACACTTTGAAGGACTCTAAATAGACCAGTCCGAATCAACCCACCACACATTAAAGAAGCACCTGCGGGCCTCCGAATTAATGTTAACATAATGACAACGCTGGAAATCAGCGTGACCACCACACAAATCAAGAGTGATAAAGCAACAGGTCTAGAAAATATACCTGCTCAGGTACTGAAAGAACTGCAGAAATGTTTCACGCTCTCTACAGCAAGACTCTGTAGGAGAGAAAATAAGAACAGAATAGAAAGAAGGACACACTATCAACATATCAAAGAAAGGACATCTCAGCAATTGTGAGAACTACAGACGCATCACTCTAATCTCAATACCAGGAAAATCTTCTATAGTAGTGTTCAACCAAATGAAAGATTCAGTGTACGCTCAACTTCGAGAACAACACACTGGACTCCGTAAGGATTGAACACGTACCAATCAGATCCCGACACTACAAATAATTTTGAATCAGTCAATTGAGTGGAATTCACCACTATACATCAACTTCCTTGATTACGAGAAACGATTTAGCAGTGTGGACAGGACAACGTTATGGAGACTACTTCTATATTGCTGTGTGCCTGGGAAAATAGTCAACATCATACGGAATTGTCACGATGGATTACACTGCAAAATCGTATATGCAGGGCAGCTCACTCATTCATTCCAAGAGAAGACCAGTGTAAGACAACCATGATTACTCTTTCTTCTGGTGGTCGACTAGATTACGGAGCAAAGCAGGGACAGCATTACTGCAATTCAATATCCGAAACGCAAGACAACTATCAAGTAACAGCAGATTCATAATTTCTTATACGATCGTCTAAACAATTCTACTGCTTGGAGCTGTCAAAGTGAAAAATATTGCTTTCAGAAGCATACGATTCAACGATGTTGATTAGTGGAATAGAAGGTATGATATGATTGGTTAAAATATCAGCACCAATATCTTTGCCGTTTGACAAATGTTTTCCATATCTAGATTTATTTCTATTTCAGTCCTTCTTGCTTACAAATACTAAAAATGTATTTCGTTTGTAGTCCAGAATTATGGTTTCGTTCTCCTTATTTCTGAGATTTGTTACGTCCTTCTGCTCCTTTTTAGTTAGCATCTTAAACCCCTTCATACTTATGTACACCCATGTGGTAAAAAGTAGTAAGAGTATCTTCTGATTAGGCCATTGCTTTTGCCTTTAAAGATAAATTTTTCGTATGCTAAGGATTAAAACACCATTTCACTTCTGTCCATATCGATTCCCCGATAATTGCATGTAATGAAAATGCATTGATATCATCCATATTTTGTGATTCTTAACAAAATGCATTCCTTTGGCCACCTTAGGCAACAATGCAAGCATGTTCGTGGCGCGATTCTCCGCCTCGAAATGCGAAGTGTTGCTTCAGGATTGGATTGCATCGGCAACTGAACTAGTGATAGGAAGTGAAGTAGTTGAGCGTGTTGACCGCTCCACCCCAAATCTCAGCACGGATGCAGAAGGCTCGACTGGCTTTTGCCAACCTACGTCACTTATGGCATAGGCAAGATATCCGCCTGCTAACCAAAGGACGGGTTTACTGTTCAGCAGTTCTCTCCGTCCTACTGCTATGGGTGCGAAACATGGCCAGTAAGAATAGAGGATATTGGTGGGTTACTGGTGTTCGTAGGTCACTAGTCTTAGATGATCGATGTCTTCGAAGCATTGCTTGTATATCCTATATATATATATATATATATATATATATATATATATATATATATATATATAGGAAACGGGTACTGGGTAAGTATGGCAGATCAATAGATGAAGTATTGAAACTTTATTAGTTGAGGTGGTTGGGACACATGTTAAATATGCCTAACCACCAACTGCCTCGACGAGCGATGTTTTGTGGTACATGGCACTCTGTGTTCTCTCAAATTCTGATCTTACGAATTCCTTATCACCTCTATCTTTCTCTTTCTAAAGTAATGTAACTGAAATACACTTCTTGAATAATATCTTTTAAACTATAGGGGAAATAGGTATCAACCTCGATTTCATTAAGCTTTGTCCTCATAAAAACCGAAATGCGAGTTTGCCTCCAAATACATATATCTTCGACTGTATTTCTAGTTCCTGAAATACTTCAAATAACTGAAGTCAATTCGCATAACTCACTGTATTATTTTCCATTCCCCCTCAGAAGTAAGTAATTTTTATCATAAAACCATACTGGATTCAGAGTTTAACCTTAAAATGTAAATTGGTTATGGGTCCGATCACTTGGAAATAAGACGTTATAAAAAATAAGTGTCCAATATCACAGCATAAACTGTTATATGGTCTCTCATCTTATTTGCAGGGTGGGTTCTCCGACATTCACTAAAATACAGTGGAAGCAGCATGATGCAAAACATTAGTGTTGCAAGTGATGTTCACATGAAGAGACATGAATGACCACATCCAATTTCATCACTGTTCGGTTGTATCATATGCACAAAAACTCCTGATTTCCTGACAGCAGATAATTTTTAGTCAACACCAGGTAAGCAGCGTTTTGACTGCCTTTAGTTCTTAAGAACATTTTGAAAGTTGTACAGCTACATAGAATACTGGGGATTCGACACCTAAGTCCGACTTACGGCTAGGAGAGATTGTGAATACTTCCTATTTTACTATGAATTTAGGCGCATGGTCGAAGTTCCATCCTTATTTAAGTAAGAAACTATCGCCTTTTTAAATATTTCGTTTTGTAGTATCTGTAGTTTTTAATAATTACTGAGTTTGAAAATAACTGAAAATATCCTAACCATACACATGACAACATATATGTACAAAGAAATAAGACAACACAATGATACATCAGATGATACTCTAATACCTAAAGCAAAAAATGATTTTGTTAACAGGAGAAAGATTGATTCAAATGCTCTCGTTTGGAGTAAGTAACTGGATACTATACTGCTACGAACTACTGTAAAAATGAAATACAGTACTATAAAAAAATAATGAGGTTAAGTCAACAGTAAAATACATAAACTAATACCGGTATATATCACCCGAAAAAAACAACTAATTTAATGGATGAAGTGAATAACACATACGTAAGAAAAGACATCCCGGTTGAATAGTATGCTAGGCTAATCAGTATCTATCAGTAACACACATAGAACTGGAATAAACAAATGCAAAATTCGACAAAGGAAAGACAGTATTGCTGATATAATTATGGATGAAAGTGAGTCGGGAAAGACTAATCACAAAACTACAGAAATTATATCATCAGATGTGTCAAAATTAATCAAATAATAAACAAAGAAGATTGAAATTATACTTTCAACTTCTGGGATTATCAGCCTCTAAAATTACTACTGTGATAATTTGAAAGTTTAAGAAAATGTTATCTATACAGCGTTATAAACTGCATTTTGTATGGAGAGTGTAAAATATATTCACTAAGTGTATGACCTGAGAGATAAATAGCTATATTTTATTTAAAAAAATAAGTAACTAAGACTAAATTTTCTACTTACAAAATTCCACTAACTAAATGATGTGTAGGCACTTTTTATATGAGAAGTTAACAATCCTACGCTCTGAGACAAATACAAGGGAATAAACCTATAGCATGCATAGAAACAACTAAAAAAAAGTGAACTATAAATTTGTATTGTTCAAGATTTCATAAACGACTTCCACGCAGATATCATGAACTGCTTAAGCATTTCATACTGGACTGGACTAACTGTTCCTGTGGTTATTGCAGGTAGGGTTCCTTGAACGTCTGAGGAGAGGATAACAGAATTACTGTTAGAAAATGGCTTTTTTAACACTTGAGAATATCGAAGGGAGGAATTTAAGTATGGATTGGTATGTACAGATTTCTGAGAAGTCAGATCACGATTTGCAGAATGAGAATACGGAGTAGATGCTGGTTTGTGATTGGTTAGATTACTTGACTTGGACGAGGAAATATTATCTGTATTACTGAGTTTTCTAGATACGGTGTCTTGAGGGTTTGGCAAGGAGGTTGCTGAGCGTGCAGAGGAAGACTGACATTTCTCATGTGCATTGGAATACATGCCCCCACGCTGCACAGAACGTTTGGATACATTTGCACTGGGTCGACGTGTAACATGATGCTGAATGAACGTACTTCCATTATTGACCGGTTGTGTAGGTAAATGACTATATGTTTTTGCAATAAAATCATTTGATGACTGTTCAAAGTTGCAAGCTTTACTCTGAACCAGCTTTGAATGCTGTTGTTGCTTACGTCTTAACCTTTTATTGGTCACTGGAGTAAAATCCTCTTCAACGACTTTAGGTTCCTCGTTCATGTAGCTAATTGGGAAGGACGAAATATTACACAAATCTGAATGAGTGCTTAGATTTGTTGCAACTGAGCCGGAAACTTTGTCACAATCACTAAATAACACTCTTCTGTTCGATGACTTTTCAAGCGTGTTTAGAGACGAAAGACAATCAATTTCCGAAAGAGGTTCATCAAATGGATCTAGCTTATCCAAATCATTGAAATGAGGCTTCACATTTTCATTTACCGTATTAGAGTCACTTACAGGCATTTTAACTTCAGTACAGGACAGATCACTATTTTTAGAATTAACCGTCTTGATAAGCGACTTTTTAGTCTCTGATCGTTTAGTTCGAGCGTGATTTTTCTCTTTGAGACAACCTGAATTGTACGATTGTATATAAAAAGAGGAATATTGTTCACTGGGATAGATATGACTATTTGGATCTGTGTGCTGATTTTCACTCAAATCGGGATTCGAACTGAATATAGACTTCGTAACTTCCTTTCTATCGGATATATCGATTGAAATGGGTTCACATGCGAGTTTGTCAGTGGAATGAGAAGACTCACTCTAAAACAAATAAATAAATAAAGGAACAGGCGAATTGAGTGTCCGAGCTAGGAAAATATACAAGACAATCAAAATAATATAAGTCAACGTCATTTCAAACGAAAACATCACACTTATTAATGAATACATGGCTTTTAAGAATCATAGTCAAGTGAAGGTAGGCGTATTTTTCGGAATCATTATTATGATGTACAAACCTCATCTACAAGGAAATATGTGACAAAATGAAAAAATAAGAATAAATAGTTTCACTGAAAATATGTAGTAGTCCTTTGCATCAATGTTATATCAGAATAGGCCAGGATTTTTCGATAGACAGATACTTTTACAGGACCAAAAACGTTCGCTTATAAAGCTACCTGACATATATTAAGTCAGTTACAACGTAGAACTTCGTACATACGTCAATAAGTTCAGATAAACGTACCACATTAGCAGAAAGACGCAAATGTCAATTCAAATACCTTAGTGGCAGAAACAGTAAAAGTATTAGCAGTAATCAGAGAGATTTAGTCAGTCAGTCAGATGCAACGTAGAACTTCGTACGTAAGTACATCAGTTCATGTTGCCATACCACATCAGCACAGAGATGTAATTGTCAATTCAAATCCAATAGCAGTAGAGGTAGTAAAGGTATTAGAAGTAATCGGAGAGATTAGGATTCGAAGATATTATTCAAGAAGTGTAATTCAGTTAGATTACTTTAGAAAGAGAAGGATAGAGGTGATAAGGAATTCGTAAGATTAGAATTTGAGAGAACATAAAGAGTGGATGAACCTACGCCTTTGTAAAGAATTCTGAGACATGTAGTTCAAGGTCTCCAACCATATCAGTAGTTATGAACGAGGATTCGATCAAAATGTTGAACAGACAAATCTTCTGAATTTGATATGAGCTCATCAAAGGAGGCAGATATCGTAACAAGACTGATAAGAAGTGAAGTTCGGTGAACCTGTTCTTAAATGGTTTTATGAAAGTCACAACACAAACTGAAAACTTTCCAATGCTTGAAGCTCTCACTTTTGAGGACTCCCTAACACAACCTACCCATAAAAATTTATGGAACATTAAACATTTAGGTACTTTGATATGCTATTTTTCCAAGCCGCCTAGAAAGAGTCTTTAATTGAGCCTCTCCATAGGTGGCTGATAATGATGATCTAGTTGTGTCCAACATCGAGATGAATTTATGGATCTCCATGTGCTTAAAGTTAGTATTTGCTGGAAATAGGCGGTGATCTGAGCATAGCTGCAGCAGACGGTTGCCATTATCTGTTCTTGGAGCCGAGACATCATAAGATCCACCCGAGTTTTACCTTTCCACTTAGTCGTTTGCATCAGCAGTGCGGGCTGATAAAAGAATGTGAGAAGGGTTATTCGTGGAGATAAAAGAGATGTCAGGGAGTGTGAGAAGGATTTGATTGTGACCAATTTGGTCTCATGTGCTGTTACGGGCATGAGGGCGGACGTCACTTCCCGGTTGCCCACACCGCCGAAGTGTTTCTTAAGGGACCTGAAATATAATTAGTTTTGGCCTTAGGGACTACAGATCTCAAGGAAAAACTACTTGGGGCTGGTCACTCACGACCTTTTTATGGGAAGTTTTTAAAGTTAGCTTTGCTCTTCGAGTGAACTTACCATCGGAGATGGAGATCAGTGAGGTAAGGTAAGGTGTGACATTTTGGGGTCGACCTTTTCTAATCCCTTCCTTCCTTGTGAGAACGCACATTGCTTCAAATGCTGGTTTTCTTAGGGAAACACCTTACTGTTGTCACACCCCTCTGCAGTCAGCAGTACGACTTCACCGTCAGACCTTGAGTAGCTGCTTTTAGTCTCATCATCCTCCAATCGACCTACCTCGCATGACAGAACCTACAGGAGCATATGTTTCAGCCAATATAGCTCGGTTGGGTCATTACGATAGGCAGGCCCGACCACCACGTCAAGGTAGCAGCTACGTTCGGGTACCTGACATTTACGTGCTACTGAAAACTGCCCAATGAGACTAATATCGAATATCACCTGCAATTTGTCGATTATGTTTTTGAAAATGGAGAAAGCTGAATAAAATGTCTTGGTAAAATCATATAACGGTTACAACGTTTCTTGACGCTGAGTTAATTAATGGAACACAAAATTTATAAAACTTAATAATGGACAGAAAAGTCACATAGGAATGTGAATGACTATGAGTACAAGGACATCATCAAACCAGATACCAGTGTTGGTTCGGAATAAGAACCTTGTCGAAAAAAACGAACTTTTAAAATCAAGTTAAAACAAATAGTACGCACAAGAATAACCATATCACAGTAAAATGAATTTGAAAAGTAAACTTACTGAATTAATTGATGAATTTGCAATCTGGTCAAAAGCTAAATTCAATCTTAGAGTATAAAACAGAAGTTATCTTACCTGATTCATCTTTAGGCAATATTATGTCACCAGATAATAACTCAGATACATGCAGACCGGTAGTCAAAGGAATAGATAGAATAGCATCGTTGTTAAAGGACAAATCTGTTAAATTTGAGATCAAACTCCCCGATGATGAGTAGGTTTGCCGTAACAATGGGCTCGGAAGGGAACAAATGGGCGTATGTTCTAGAAGGTGTAAAGAATTTTTTGAAGACACCGAACGGAAAGTTATCCGATTGTTCTGATCTCCAGACGGAACTTCGCTGGTAAGTCCAAGTTTTCCCTTCAGCGGACGAATCCGTGATCTTACAGGAATATATTCATCGAACAATCTCTCAAGAGGATAAAGACAAGGTTTTGAGGCAACTTCCGATAAAAACTTTTGGTGAAGTGGATTGTTAATTTTCTTACGATCAAAGATGGGAGGAGTTTGAGTAAATCTAGGGCTAACGGAGGCAGCAGCCAAACGTTTTTTCAGGTCATTCAATGTCGGTGAAGCTGTTCTTGGCGTCTCAACTTCTTCAACATCTATGATTTTCACTTCTTCGTCAAAACTCTGATCAGTCTTCGGGTAGAATGTGTCAGTGGTTCCATTAGAAATACAGTCATTGCTTATAAAAAGTTTTCCTGCATCAGAAATTTGACTAACATGGGATTCATTACATTCAGAAGACTCGTCGAAAGATCGACAGCTAACAATATCAAGGAATGGAGAAGTCAGACATTCATACGATGCTACAACGGTACCACTCATGTTAGCAACAAAAAATTAGCAATTGGAGCGTTAATAAATTACAACACTGGTGATTAAACTGACGCAATAAAACAAAACTGATTTTAAAAGAAGTATCGAACTTCTAGGCATATATTTTCCACAAGACATGAATTCGTGCGAATTATTTTCTCATATAAAGGCTAATATTTGATGATATTGTTCAGAGCACAATAATGGTGGTTAACCTAGGTCATTAACCCACTTCACGAAAGATGAAGATTATGGTCTCGTCGATTGAATGCACTACACAAGCAAAAATCCTTCAGAGACCAGGTCCCACAAAACCGGCCTACCCAGTTTCAACAACCTTACTGAAAACCCTACAACAGCTGTTGCTGCAGAGTTGCATCAGTCATACCACCAACCGCCTCTATAGAAAAAAAAGGACTAAGGGGTGATCTGTTAGAAATCGGGAATTTTTGCCCTCATGTGGATCTAAACATCATAATCCAAATCGGAACATGGCTATTCTCCGACATTGCAGACGATGAAGTGAGATTACAGGGCATGACAATCCACCAATGCGGTGGGGTAAACCAAACAGGAAGCGGAGTTGCTATATAAATTGATAGCCATTTCAAAGCCGAAAACATTCAAGGCACCCAGATAACCGATGTGACAGAATTATTTCGGTGTTGCTGCAACACAAATGGCACAAAATACTTAACTGGAGCAGCTGAACAGAGGGACTGAGGATGGAAAATCCTAAAACTTGTATTATTTGCAAACAGTTGAGGATTTTGACGCCAATACACAAATAAGAATCAGTGACCATGGCACATCCATGTTTGAAATGGCCATAAATAAAACAATGAGGCTGAAAGATCTGTTTGGGTTCATCGGGAAACACTAGTGTTTGCCAACTACAGTTTGGAGACTGAGAATAACTTGTCAAAATATTTTCACCTTTTCGAAAAATCAACATGAATGTGACAACTTCCCACAATTTAACTGGCAGACACAATTGATTCAATAGGAAAACCATATCTTTAATTAGAAAAACCAATAAAGGTTGTTTTACTAAAGAAAGAGAAGTGAAGGTTCAAATGTTGATCAGGGATATTAAAACAAAGCTTAAATAATCTACTGCATAAACAAAGAAGATGTACAATGACTGTTACTGATAAAAAATTGTGAAGTGTTGAAAATTTTCCAAATTTATTCAATGCGTAGTGAATCCACTTTTATGAAGAGAACGAGATTAGCGTAATAGAAACATTCATTATGTAAACCAAATATACCAGTGATTGTTTTACTGAACTTCTTTGCTTATTATTGTCTGTACGCGCAACTTTTCCGTTTGTGTTGCTGCCCTTTGGGCTCCCCTGACTCTGTAATTTCGTCCCTCTTTTCTGGCACGATTTCGGTATAATTTCGATACCACGAAATCCTCAGCAAATATATTGTTTTGTGCGGATTAACCTTTCTTCACTGTGTCGGGTACGCGATTGGTCTGTAGTGGTTATCATAGTCACTCTCGGCTTGACTTGCTATAGACAGGGCAGAACCACCACCGCATGACTCAGTCTGTGACAAAGTAAATTTTTGTGCATTGAATGTACATGATCTTAGCATCCATCGAAAGACAATTTGACCTTGACTGACCTGCCTGCCGAATGGTTTGCTGAGGGCCCAGTAATATTGAACTGGCTCGACAATAGTTAAGTAGGAACTTCATTTGAAGATCACAACAAAGTATTGATTGGCTTCTTTTTTTTATAGGCAATATTTTTTCCAGTATTCGTACAAAGTTAGGGCGACACTATAAGATTTATAAGTCCCTATACAGCATCGATATGGTTGTAAACGTGTCCGATTACAGTACATCCAAAGTCCGAGCAAAACGAATGAAAGAGCCTCCATCCTTGTGACGGATTCTCAAATGGAACTGAGACTTTCAACTGTTAACCTGGCTGTCTTCCAGAATCGTTTAGGTACAGCGTTAAGTCCTAATGGAGAACTAACTCTCTTGAACTGGATCCAGGTAGACAACCGCTTATGCTCTGTCCGACTAAATGAGACTATAAGGGCTCGATCAGAAAGGGACACTGACTGATGCTCCTTTTTGTATCCGCTTACGCCCTCACTGACTGCGGCCCGGATGAGGTAAGAGATGAGTTAAACAGAAAACTTTCAAACCTCCTCCGAACAGTTAAACTCTCTGACATAGAAAAAGAGGCTGGTGACATCGCTCGTTCAGTTGAGATATGCAGATGACATGGTTCAACTAGGTTATGTTGCTGATAAAACGCACTCTAATGGAGGGATTAAGCTGACCGGTGTAGAATCATTTATGTAAGGCTTTATTTTGGAAAATCCTTCCATGTTTACATTTGTAATATATTCTTATCGATTCTTTCTGTTCTACATTTTGGTAATCTGTTCGATTTCATTTAGGGGTGTTGATATTTGTATACTGTCATTTTCTGAGTTTTTGTGCTTCCTTCCGAACGGCGTTATATTGTTTAATTTGATATTCAATTATGGTGGCAGCCTAATTGAGTTTGATCCTCTGGCGGTTGGTACATTCATCTGTACTGAAAGGCAGCAATTCGGATCGAAAACTGGAGCATTCTTTCAGAGTCTAAAACACCTTGTGTTATTATCGTAGCGGTAACTGTTGTTTTATTAACAATCATAAGTACATATATATATATATATATCATAATCTAAACAATATTACTTCAGTCATTACTACAGGATCAAACTCAACATGGCTGTCACCATAATTGAATATCAAATTAAACAATATAATGCCGTTCGGCAGGAAGCATAGAAACTCAGAAAAGACAAAAAATAAAGAAACTATGTCAGTATACAAATATTAACACGCCTAAATGAAATCGAACAGATTGCAAAAATGTAGAACAGAAAGAATCGATAAGAATATATTACAAATGTAAACATGGAAGGATTTTCCAAAACAAAGCCGTTCAAAAAGGATTACACAGCAATTTAAAACAGTGGTTCCCTTTGATAAATTTGAATAGAGAAATAAGAAGACATATTTTGTGAGGTAGTACAATTTCGTGCTCCCCAATAATTGCATGTAATTAAAATGCATTGATATCATCCATATTTTGTGATTCTTAACAAAATGCATTCCTTTGGCCACCTTAGGCAACAATGCAAGCATGTTCGTGGCGCAATTCTCCGCCTCTAAATGCGAAGTGTTGCTTCAGGATTGGATTGCATCGGCAACTGAACTAGTGATAGGAAGTGAAGTAGTAGTGACCGCTCCACTCCAAGTCTCAGCACGGATGCAGAAGGCTCGACTGGCTTTTGCCAACCTACGTCACTTATGGCATAGGCGAGATATCCGTCTGCTAACCAAAGGACGGGTTTACTGTTCAGCAGTTCTCTCCGTCCTACTGCTATGGGTGCGAAACATTGCCAGTGAGAGTAGAAGATATTCGTAGGTTACTGGCTTTCGATCATAAGTGTCTTCGAAGCATTGCTTGTATATCCTGGCACAATCGAGTGTAGATGAATTTTCTACCGTAGCAGTTCAATTCGATTCTAATAGACGTATGTCGAACGCACCTTCCCTTAGTCGAATATTAAAACATAATAATTCTAGGAGAAGGTGGTCTATTTATATAAAAGAAATGGAAATACAAACATTTACCTGACAATTATTACGCCTTCCAAGTCGAAATTACTCTGATGGGTATCCGAGTTCAAAAGATTAGGTGAAGCTAGTATACTGCGACGATATCAAATCCAAATATGGCTGTAGCCAAATTTAAACAACATGTGTACAGTTCAGAAGCAAACATAAAACTTCAATATAAGTACAAAATATAGAAATAATAACAATATACAATGATAAATTCTCAAAATGGAATCAAATAAAATACCAAAATGTCAACAGAAAGAGTCAGTCATATCATAACAAAAATATATATACATGGAGGGATTTTCCAAAAAACAAAACATTCAAAAAAGATTCTACACCGGCCCGCAAAATCCCTCCATGCAAAAGACAAGCGCTTATTGACACTTCAAGTTTGGGTTCACTCTCATCCCCTAATCCATACCGGAAGAACGAGTAGGACTTACAGCAGTACGCCTACCCGCCTTCCAACATGGGCATGACCTATCAAGCTAACTAGGTACCTGTACCTTCCCATCAGGCCCTTGATTCCCCTATCTATCGTAGCATGACCTAACGGTAGTATAAACTTTATCCCATTAACCCACATGAACATGTACAACGCGTCGTAAAGCTGGTCATATCCTATCCGGGATCTACATCCCATATCATGGGGATGAGTCATCAATTCACCACCACTTGCTCCGATCAGCAGATACAATGAAGTCAGCTATGCTGACTTATCAACAGAAGTTCTTGACCCATAGATAATATGCAAGGATGGGATCTCCAATTTTGATATTTCCTCGTCTCCCGAAGACTCCAAATAGCATAACATGTGACCAATATTTATCTCTCCATCTCCTGATACAGAGGAGGTTTGATCAGCATTCGTCATCGTCGACAACTCATTTGTCGCATCAGTGACATCCAGGTTATTACCATCGTCATCATGATTCCGTTGTGTCAGACAGGTCGCGTAGTTTCAGTCTGCACTAGCATCCGTAGAGTGAAACTCTTCCACTGTTGTATAACTCATCTCGGTACATGAAAGAACAGCATAAGTGTCACAATCCAAAACCGATAAACTCACTTGTTGTTCTTCATGTTCCGTTTCAGAGACACACGACATATGCACATCAATAGCATCGTTATCATGCAACACTGTTGACTGGCTGTTACCATCAGACACTTCCTTCTCATCATCGCTTGACTGACAGTCTACCGAAGTAGGAACACTTGCAGTTACACAACCTTGTGTATCCTCAATCAACTTAGCATTCGAGGCAGGGTCCGATGACGTCAAATCAATAGAAGGCTCATTTGATGAAGTTGATCGACTAGTCACTATAGATGGACTGCTCACGCTTTCTGTCTCTTTACTATCGCTGTCTCTGCTAAGATTCTGATGACTACTATTTCCATTGCTAGTCATACCATCCG